TTTTTGGGGGGGGGGCGGCGCCTGACTAGGGTTATTAAGTTGCCCTAGGCAACCTAGACGGAAATTCCGTCTAGGTTGCCTCAACCTAGACGGAATTTCCGTCTAGGTTGAGTGGACAACCTAGACGGAAATTCCGTCTAGGTTGCCTACTCAACCTAGACGGTATTTCCGTCTAGGTTGATGTAACCTAGACGGAATTTCCGTCTAGGTTGATTTTCCGTCTAGATTGACAAACTAGACGGAAATTTCCGTCTAGTTTGAGTCAACCTAGACGGAACAAACTAGATGGAACTATTTCCGTCTAGTTTGACTCAAACTAGACGGAAAAATTTCCGTCTAGTTTGTTCCGTCTAGGATGCTCGTTTTTCTACTAGTGATTGAACATACGTGTTTTGAAGGCTCAATACACCAAACATTTTAACCGTCAGATTCATCTAGTTGATATGATCTTAATCTAATAAATAACTTGTTATTTATTTAGTTAAGGATGGTTAGGGAGTCGAAAGTTAAAATAACTCGAAAGTAATTAAATGTGATCATATTAGATCTCATTCTGGGATTTCGGCGGAGAAAAAAAATTATGCTTCTTCCTCTTGCTAAGATTTTCGGCGCAGACGAAAAAGTTTCTGATCACCCCCTTTTCTCACATTTTGATATTCTGATGTATAAAAAAGTTTCTTCCTTCTCTCTCTTTTTAATATTTTAAAAAAAGAGAAAAAAAAACTTTTCACATACTTCATCGAGCGAGCGCTTCAAACCCGTCATGACATCTCTTCTTTGCATGTAATTGTATATATTTCTCCAGCTATTAAGATCCCTCATGTAATATTGGAAATTTATGATATGTTCAATTTCATAAGAGTAGCACTCAAGCCTCGTGTATTTATTTAAAAACAGAGTAATAATATATATAAATTAAATGTCTTACAAAAATTGTATCTAAGGAGCTCTTTCAAGTCCATTCTTCTTGTGAAATTATAGCAGTTAAAGCTTTCATGGATTTTAAAGCAACTGAAACCTTTTAAAACATGTTTGCTTCTACGGTCCAAAGCAATTGCAGAATTTTTAAGTGTAGCCAAGTCAGTGAAGCGAGCCAGAGTTTGTAAGCAAACCTAGTCCAGTTGTTGAAAATATAATGGGCATCACCCTAGAGCTACTATTCACTTGCTCATATGATCAATAAGTCTATCAAAAAGATTTGTCCGAACTGTTTAAAGAATTATTGAGGAGAGAACTTCTTTTTTCAGAATGGGTAGATGCATTCAATTCATGGTTCCAAAGGAAGATGATTGTTTCTTGATCATCAGCATACACTTGACGAAATTAATAGGTAGAAATTATAAATGGAATTTGATCGAATAATTAGCAAGTAATTTAGGGATTATTCATGTAAATATAGGTTATTCTATATACAAAGGAATTTAATGGAGATGAACAATAAACTTGAGTTTAAATTGAACTAATTGAACAATTTTAATCCAATTTCGAGGATGAAAATAAATAATAGTATGCGCCCTCATTTTAAAAGTAGAGCAGACCAAACATTTTATTTATCCATCTACAATAGATACTTTTTTCGTTCTCAATCTTGAATATTGAAAACTGACCTCGTCGGCGACGTCGTCGGCATCGGCGGCAACGAGGGCCTATGAGCGGCAACAACAACATTGATTGCGGAGCTCAGGGATCAGAACTCAGGCGGCAATGAGTTCGGGCGTGGGCGCGCGTGCGGGCGTGGAGCTCGCCTGACGCGGTCGAGGAGGCGAAGAGCTCGTCTGTGAAGAACTCGCCTGATGGTTTCGACCTCGCCTGTTGGGCGTGTTGTTAGCAGCGGAAATTTCGGCAGAGTTTCTGGTGCATAATAAGAGAGAAAGATCAATAAGAATTCCTGTCTCACCAAGGAAACAAGAATCTGAAGCGAATATCTCAATAAAGTAGGATATCAGCTCTTCCTCTCATTAGTTCTAGGACTGACTTGTCGAGGGAACCTAATAAACTATTACAATGACCACAAATAGCAAATCACACAAGTTTTACATGGTTCGGCAAATTGCTTACATCCACGGGGCAAGTAGGGGGGACCTACAATTAGAAGGAGAGAATATAACTAGGGTTTACAATCACTCAATCTAAACCCTCACACAATTATCTCTCTCAAAAGCACAATAGTCTGTTTACACGAAACCAAAGAAAGCTGCTGACTTTTTCTCCCGCAGCCGCACTTTTCTTCTTCTCTTGCGCACCTGCTTTCTACAGCCGCCGCTTTGCACTTGCACTCCTAGCCGAAAAAGAAATCCACCTTGCACAAAAGCTAGGTCACCGAATAAATGCTATTTATATACCTGCAGCACAACAATCGTGTGGGCCTTTGCATTAATGTCTGCAACGAGAGGAAAAACACGTCTTTGCTTTGCTTCATTCACATAGTGGCCCCCACTCTTGTGCTTTACAATTCTCCACATCGATGAAGTTTTACCAAAACTGAGCCGACACCAACCAAAACAAATGTCTCACTTATTACGTCCAGTACGAAGTGAAACAATTCACGACAACGGACTTAATCCACAACAAGTCGAGAACCTAAATGAGAATGTGAACACTCTTCAAATGTCGGTATCAACTCACCAAATTGATCTCACCCCCATCAAAATCAACTAATCCAAAAACTGGCTGCATCATAAATGACTGTCTACGTATCCTCTTGCCCAAGGAATCAAGCCTTCACGTAGTTCACCTAAATGGCCGCGAACGACCTCATTCTAATAGAAGAGTTTGCAACCCTTCTCTAATATCATCAATTTTGCGGATGATAGCACCACCAATGGCCTCAAACACCTCTACCTGATGTGTACCAATAGCCATATGAAAACTGCATCTATCAACTGCACTTGGATCAAAATCCAACTCATCATCTGCATCCAAAAAGAAATGATCTCTAAACTGTGTCACCTAAGCTGGAATCCCAAACGATACAGAATGATCTAGAGAATGTGGAGTAATCTACACCCAATGTGACGTAGCATCACTCTCCACCCGCTGTGATACCTCTATGATCTATCCAAAACTCTCCACCTGCTGAGAGTCAATTAGCTCCCTCATCGAAGCCTCAACCGAAGTGACACTGCCAGACCAAACACCCAATTAAGTTTTACCTCCTATCACAACAATTAACAACTCTTTAATAGGATGACCCAAATATGTCGAAACCTTAATCCAGAAACTCTTCTACAAACCATTGCTTGACAACAAACACCGATCCTCCTCCAGCAAGGCACGGTTCTCCAAATTTGTCATCCTATCTAGTTGCTCTAAAATTTCCTTTCTAACGAAGTGTCTCAAAATGCAGTGAGCTCGGCTCCAATACAGAAATAGGTCCCTCTTGTACCTGCCACCAAAACCTGAATGAAGTACCTTTACATTTCTGCTAATTTCACACTTCTTTAAACTGTTAGAGACTACTAGGACTTTCTCTAATGGGGATTTGGTTGCAAACCAAACACGCCTAGAACAGCCACCAACAAAGGAAACCAAACGCCTATTATATCCCAATGATGCCCCCATAGAAGGCCCCCAAACATCCACGTGAACACCTCCAGAATGACCCTTAGCTCGGTGAATAAAGGTGACAAACTTCACCTTGGTCTTCTTGCTCACATCAATATGTTTACTGGACTTTAAGCTACAGGTCTTCGCACCCTCTTTCAATCTATGCGAAGAATCAATACTGGAATGGCCAAGCCCAAAATGCCACAATCTAGTCGAATCAATAGAAGTCGTCACTTCTTCACCAGCCACTATACCTCTATTCAAGTAATACAGGTTATTCGTCATGATGCCCTTCATCACAATCTGAGAGTCTTCCATAATCTTGAGAATCATGTTCTTAATTCGAACATTCAGACCCTCTCCAACCAAAGCTCCTATAGAGATCAAGTTCTTCTTTAAGAAAAGAACATATCTCACATTATATAACTCCCTAATAGTCCCGTCAAACATCTTGATGCGAATTCTTCCTATCCTAACAATCTGTCATGCATGGTTATCAGCCATGTACACCACACCACTATCCAGCTTCTCAAAACCGGAGAACCATTCCCTTCTAGGGCACACATGATAGGTCGCACCACTATCCAACATCTATTTAGATTCCTCGGAATAGCTATCTGTTGGACTGATAGAAAGTGAATAAATAGAAGAGTCAGAAATATTACCATCCGATATAACGATATTTGCTTCTGATAATGATTGCTTCCCTTTTCCCTTCTGCTTATTCTTCATCCATTCGTCGAGCTTTGGGCAGTCTTTCTTCTAATGACCAGTCTCCTTGCACCAAGTACGCTGATCTTTTCTAATTGTAGGATGTCCTACTCTAGACAGTGACTTCTAATTCTTCCGGTTTGGAGCCTTCCCTCTTACGGACAACGCCTCTGCTACCGGCTCAACTGAAGCCTCCTTATCCTTCTTTCGAAGCTGATAATTCACAAGTGCACGCCTCTGCTACCGGCTCAACTGAAGCCTCCTTATCCTTCTTTCGAAGCTGATAATTCACAAGTGCAGTAGTCACCTCACTATACGAAAGAGATGTCTTCCCATTAATCAGAGTAAGAACGAAGGTCTCATATTCCTCGTCGGGTAAGTAACTCAACAATAGCAACGCCTTGTCCTCATCTTCAATCTTGACATCCACATTCGTTAAATCCGCAAGAAGCTTTATGTAAGTATTCATGTGATCATTAATTGAGGTTCCCTTCTTCAATTAGAAACGATAAAGTCTCCTCTTCAAATGAAAGCGGTTCTCAACACTCTTTGTCAGATACTTGCTTTCGAGAATCTCCCAAATCTTCAAGCGGTTCTCAACACTCTTTGTCAGATACTTGCTTTCGAGAATCTCCCAAATCTTCTTCACAGAAGTCTCATTCATCACATCATATTTTAGATCTACTTGCTTTCGAGAATCTCCCAAATCTTCTTCACAGAAGTCTCATTCATCACATCATATTTTAGATCTTTAGTCAAAAAAGATCTAATCACACCACACGCCATTCGATTCTTCTTCTTCCAAACCTTCTCTTCAATATCAACTGGCTTGCCATCTAACTCCAAGGTATCCTTCAAATTCTGCGCGTTCAGTGCATCCAAAACCTTGCATCTCCATAATCCAAAGTTGTTTGTGCCATTAAACTTCTCCACATCTATCTTCATAGAGTGGATATTCAAACTCTGAATGGTCTTCACATTAGAAGCACCACCCTCGACACCCAAAGCATCTTCTTTCCCCGACATCTTTATCAACGCACCATCGAACGAAGAATAGATCCAAAACTAAAAAGATAGAGCATTTTACCAAAAGATCCCACCATTATCACCAAACAAAGCCCTAGACGAGCTTTCAAATCGATCTACTCCTCCAAATAGTTCAAGCGTAGCCCATGCTCTGATACCACTTGTTATGCGTAGCGAAAATTTCAGCAGAGTTTTTGGTGTATAAAAAGAGAGAAAGATTAATAAGAATTCCTGTCTCACCAAGAAAATAAGAATCTGAAATGAATATCTCAATAAAATAGGATATCAGCTCTTCCTCTCATCAGTTCTAGGACTGACTTGTCGAGGAAACCTAATAAACTATTGCAATGGCCACAAACACCAAATCACATAAAGTTTAAGTGGTTCGACAAATTGCCTAAATCCACGGCGCAAGTAGCGGGGATCTACAATTAGAGGGAGAGAATATAACCAGGGTTTACAATCACTCAATTTAAACCCTCACATAATTATCTCTATTAAAAGCACAAAAGCCTGTTTACATGAAAGCAAAGAAAGACGCTGACTTTTTCTCCCGCAGCTGCTCTTTTCTTCTTCTCCTGCGCACCTGCTCTCTGTAGCTGCCTCTTTGCACTTGCACTCCCAGCTAAAAAAGAAATCCACCTTGCAAAAAACCTAGGTCATCGAATAAATGCTATTTATATACCTGTAGCACAACAATCGGGTAGGCCTTTTCATTAATGTCCGCAAGGAGAAAAAAAACGCTTCTTTGCTTTGCTTCATTCACATGGTGGTCCCCACACTCATGCTTCACAATTCCTGTCTCATCAATAAAATAAGAATCTAAAGTGGATATCTCAACAAAGTGGGATATCAGCTCTTCCTCTCATCAGTTCTAGGACTGACTTGTCGAGGGAGCTTAATAAACTATTACAATGGCCACAAACAGCAAATCACATAAGTTTTACGTGGTTCGACAAATTGCCTACATCCACGGGGTAAGTAGGGGGGATCTAAAATTAGAGGGAGAGAATATAACTAGGGTTTACAGTCACTCAATCTAAACCCTCACATAATTATCTCTCTCAAAATCACAAAAGCCTGTTTACACGAAACCAAAGAAAACCGCAGATTTTTTCTCCTGCAGCCGCACTTTTCTTCTTCTCCTGCGCACCTGCTCTCTGCAGCCGCCGCTTTGCACTTGCACTCCCAGCCAAAAAAAGAAATCCACCTTACACAAAACCTAGGTCACCGAATAAATGCTATTTATATACCTGCAGCACAACAATAGGGTGGGCCTTTGCATTAATGTTCGCAACGAGAAAAAAAACGCGTCTTTGCTTTGCTTCATTCACATGGTGGCCCCCACTCCCGTGCTTCACAGGGTGTGGACCTCACCTATTGATGTCGCCCAAGATCTCTCCTGCACGAGAGAGATGGCGACCTTGCCTGTAGCGTGAGCAGGATTTAGGAGCTCATGTGCTGAGATTGTGCTCGCCTGTGTGTTGTTGGATCCAGCTGGATCCCACAACTGCCCTAGGGTTTCCCTATAAAAGGGAAACCCTATTCACGGACCTGATGAGCTTCATTTTCGCGATTTTAATAAAGGCAATTTTTACCTCTATGGCGGTGGCTTTTATCTCTAGCGGAAATTCTCAGTTGATCTGAGAATTAATTTTTCGGTCCAGAGAAATTGGAAAAAGTCCTGTAGCATTTACTACAGTGACGAGTTGGTGTTGTAAGATATCTCAAGTTTGAGATATTTTCTTTTACAAGCTTTGTAATTTCTTGTGGTTGAATAGGAAATTATTTGTGTGGATCCTGTGGACGTAGACAATTTTGCCGAACCACATAAATCTGTTGTCTCGTCTACTTTACTTACTATTTTATCCGTGTAGTCGTTTATTGCTTGTATTGGTTGGTTTGAGTTTGACTTAAACTCAATCTCGAGTTGTTTTCTCTCGGGATTAATTTATCTTCCGCGATGGTGTGGGCGTCCCGCCCTCTCAACAATTTGTATCAGAGCCCTTATTCTGATTAGTGGTGGTAGAACTTTTGATTTGAGGTGGTACTTGGTTATAGTGTGGTTTACACAAGATATTTATTGAAATTTTTCTGAGAGAGACGATTTTACTAAACAAGCGGAGAATGACGTCTACTAGTAAAATAGTTAAAGTTGGAAAGTAGAGATCAAGAAATTTAACGGGAAGCATGATTTTTCTTATTAGAGGATGCAGATAAAAAATTCATTGATTTCATAAAAATTGCACAAGGCTTTGGTAGGAAGAGAAAAGAAGCACAAAGATATATTAGATGAAGATTGGGAAGAGTTAGATCTCGAAGCACGAGCGTTGATTATCCTATATCTTGAGAGAGATGTTGCTTTCTTGGTAGATGGAGAGGAAACGGCTGCAGGCATGTGGTTGAAGTTGGAAAGCACATTCATGACGAAGAGTCTAACGAACTGGATCTATTTAAAATCCAAATTGTATACTTGCAAGATGGAGGAAGGCTCATCAATCTGGGAATTCATCAACAAGTTCGATAGGATCTTATCGGATTTGAAAGATATTGAGGTGATAGTGGAAGACGAGGATCAGGCACTTCTACTACTTCTATCTCTCCCAAAGTCTTATGAGAATCTGGTTCA